GGATATTTTCTGCTCCCCCCCCCCATGTTGTCCCCTCCCTCAGACTCACACACACCCACAGTTTAATTTTCTAGTATTTTGGTGTGCGTGTCTGTGGAACCGGTGCTGACTGGCTGAGGTCGCTCGCGGCTGGTTCCTGCCCCCCACCCTCCTCCTATACGCCTGTCCTCTCTGTGGTCTGTACATTGAGTTATTTATCTCCTGCTGTTGTTTCTACGTAAACAAGACGTACACATGTTTCACATAGTGAGCTCATTCACGTCGTAAAGGAGGCGTATCCTGCACAGCATGCAAATAAGTAGATAATTCTCCTGCAGGGCAAAGAGCACCATGCTGTCTTCTGCAGCCTCTTAAAGAGCGTGCACTTTGATATTAAATAGGTTTAAAGGGTCTGAAAGCTGATGATTCCCTGTTCAACATGATTACAAAAGCAAAGGAAGCTAGAAAAAAAGCTGTGATTAAAAAAAATGGGGCCTATTTGGGAAATTGCAGAACAGATAGGGAGGTTCCTCCCAGGGCTGTAAGTTCTAGATAAGGGAATTGTTTTATTCCCAATTTGCTATAAAAACAAAACACACTAAAAGTCAGCTAACATTTACTCCACCAAGCATGCTCCTGGAACTTTCCTTTTTCCTTTTCAACTGGTTTGTTTTGATTTTGTACTTTAGCCCATAAGAACCTACGCCCTTTTACACATTTAGAAAAGTTCCTGTTAAAGTTTCAACATTGACTCTCCCATAGTTTTCCTGACAGTAAAAATGGGTTTGGGCTCTCATGGGCTAGATTCAACACAGATCACAGTTGTTATGTCGTGATCCGCGCTCAGTCATCCAGGCAGTGACATGCCGGAAGCATTTGTTCAGTCTGGAAGGCTGACAAAACTTTTCTCCCACTGAAAACAAAACGTCCAGTTGAACAGAACCAACTTTATGGGATCGCAACTGTTAATTAATTCTGTAGAGCATTTATAATAGATGTGATGAGAGCATACTAAACTGCACCAAATGGGATGAACGGCAACTGAAATGATTTGATGGGTTTTCCAGGCTGATTATTTCTCAGCCGACACATTTCATTAACTAAATGAATTGCAGACGCTTCATCGATCGGGTCAGTAATGATTTAACACCGTCCCAGCAGTGATGAAGAAATCCAGCAATCAGTGTTCTCACAGCATGCGATAGCATTAAAAAAATCTCACTATCTGCTTTGTCTCAAGCCACATGTTACTTATATTTTGTTAGGAAAATGAGAAATAGGTGCAATGATTTATTGAAACAAGCGCAAACAGACGTGGAAACACAGTAAATAAGGCAAAACTGCATTTGTACAATTATAATGAGTTTAAAAGTCAGAGATGACCTTTATTCTCCAACACAGTCTGAACTCAGAGCCAAACATTCGTCTCATTGTTTTATGTAATCTTCAGGAATAGTTCTCCAGGCTTCCTTAAAGACATGATTTTGCTGCATCTGCTGCAGAGCATTTTGAGGCCTACCTCTTCCTTTCTTTTTAGGGTTACAGCGAACACCATGCAGAGATATTCAGTATTATATTCAGCTAATAACTCTCTGAGAATCAAGAAATCCTACTTTATGTCTGTCAAACTGTGTTATCTTTGGTATTTTTCTTTGTGTTGTGTGTACACACATGAGTTAAGTGCTTTTTGAATTCCCGAGTGACTCAAAAGTTAATGTTAAGTGGTTTAAACAAACAAACAAACATTCCTCTGGTCTGGTTCAAGGACTGGACTGAAAATGAGTGAAAAAGTAGCCAAAGGAAATCTGTGACAGTCCTTCAGAAACCTGGAGACGTATTGCTCAAGAGCACATTAAGAATTACAAGAAAGTCTGGCTCCTGGGAAGAAAATATAAAGAAATGAGGGGGCGAAACCACACTTTTGAACTTCACTGTATATTTTCATAGAGCACTGAAAGTGTTAATATCACAGCTCCTCCATGCAAAGTGGAGCACAGACTGTCAGGTTGCTAATGCACATTATCACATCTCATAATAACACACTTCCCACTAACAGAGGTGTCAGCATCTGCAGACACTTTGAAACTAACATGACTCAGACAAAAAGTCTTCGTGTCTGGATACCTGACGGGTGAGTTTTTATTGTGATTGTTCTTGACAAAGTGAGTTTGTTCTGATTAATAAACAGTTCAAATTTGGATTTTAAGATCTGTTGATTTTGGAGATGCTGAGCGAGCCGCTGAATGTGCCTCACTGTCTGCTTTGTGGCTCTGCGTCTGCTATTAGTGGTGGCCATAATGACCGGGTGGTGGACAGTGCTGAGTTATCAGGTACGTGCGTCTGAGCTGAAATTTGTGTTTGGCCAGTGACTGCAGGATGAGTGCTACATTCAGATTAGGCCACGGTGTGTGGGTGTGTTGAAGAGCTCTCCACCAAGAAACAAGCGGGAGAAGCAGGAGTACACAGCTGCACAAACAGCAGGTTAATTCAATGTTTCTGGGAACGGCCAGATCTGCTTCGATGTCCCGTTTCCCTCCTGGCTCAAGCTGAGGTGAACAAAACAAAACAATTTTATGCTCAAATGACCAGCATGCCTCTTTTCCCCTCAGAGATGTGTGCACGTACGCCATTAAATGGATCTTTCTTTGCTTCTCTGGATTCTTTCACTGGGGCTCCGATTTGCATGAAAACTGGCAGAGAGCAGGGGCCCCTTCCTCTCTTCTCCCCTTCCCCTCATTCTTTTATCCCAAAATCGGTCACACTTTGTGCGCTGACATTATGCAAGAGAGCAGCACAGCACCGGACACTCAGTCAGCTAAGATTTGGCTCAAAGCGTTGGCCAGATCAACGTAACTCCGCCTCCGTGTCCTGGGGGGTTTGTGAAGACAAAAACACGTTGAGAATAATTTTGTGCTTGAGTTTTGCAACAAAGGAGCAGAGTCATGATTCAATCTGTGGCACACATGGACCTGAATCTCCCCAGAGATGGAACTAAGAAAAGAGACATCATTACTGAGAAAATCAGGCCACTGAAGCAGTTTAAATTCATTTATCTCTGCTGCCAAAGGGGCTCAGCCTACCTTACAGATACAGCTTTGGGTTATTTGGCATGTCCTAAGGGAGCGTGTCTATATTTACCTGGGTGCAGTCTCCCAACAGGCTTTTACCTTGAAAGTTAGGTAACAATTACCACGAAGCTGCTCCAGGCAGCAAAAGATTACGAGCTTAACCTGCACCTACACTAACAGGCACTCCTTCTGCAGACTGTGTACATCTGCAGTGTTCCCAGTGTCCACAGGGGGCGTTCTGACCTTTGGCCTTGTGTCTAATCAAAATAATCTCGTTACAGCTGGCTCTCTCACTACACAGGAACAGGATGAGTAATTTACAGAGTTGCTAACTCTGATGTGTTCAAGTTCTTCTGGATAATCAGAGTTAACTGGTGACACAGTGCAGAGACTTCTGTTACAGCTCTGTGTGTGTGTTTACTGCACAGCCACACTGTGCGGGCGCGACTGAGTTTTTTGAGATAAGAAAGAAGTCTGTAACAAATAGTAGGGTTTAATACTGGGGTAAAATCGACTGCAGGTTAAGGCCGAGATGTCAGATTCATTTTTCATTATTGGCCACATGCAGCCAAGTTTGATCTTAAGCGGACCAGACCAGTGAAAATCCTCTGTCAGCGTAAAGATTGCTGCTTTGGGCTTAAGCTGTAAGAAATAAATGTGTAAAAGTCATGTTAGCTTAGAACTCTGACTGTCCTGAAATTAGACAACAGGAAATGTTTGATAGTTAAAAGCATTTCCTCTTTTTGTTATTTTTATGGGGAACCCTGTAAAAATCATAAATATCTATAGGAGAAAGTGAAAAAAATGAACTTTCTTCTAAATGTTTATCTGTTAATTTTATTTTGGTGAGGTATGAATGGCCATCGGGGGAAGGTAGAAGTGCTGTAAAACCTGTGAAAATACAGTTAAAATTTATCCTTTGTTCACATTTTCCAAAGTTATCCTTTGGACCAGACTTGAGTCTTTGGCAGCTGATTCTTGTGTTCGACAGAGTCACAGTTCAGCCCTGTAAAGTGAGGGAGATGCCACTGTGTGAGTAGGATGCCACATAACTAATATTCACCAGTTTTATAAAATAACTACATATGCACCTTTAACACATTTAAGTAGTTGTTTTTGGGGGGTAGGGGTTAGATGCACATTTTAAAGGCCAAAGAGATTAAAGAAAACATCTGGCACAAATAGCTCATAGTAACAAAAGTGCAGAGGATACAGTAGAGACCGCAGGTACAGGCAGCAGCTGCTGAACAATTACAACATGTGGTGTTGGACATGCAGGTACAGCAACAATTCCACTGACACTTGTATAAAAAACAAACACACGGTCATGGGCACAGAGCTGGAGTCAGATGATGAGTAACAGGTTACAGTGGATCTGTGATCTATATGTGATGCTGCTGTGGATGCCCATTTCACACACAGTGAGGTTGATCCACCTTTTATTCTTCATTTGGATCCGCATGATGTTGCAGATGATGGATGTTACTGATACGGTCATCTCAGGCACAGAATTCACAACCAGCACGTCCAAGGTAGCATCTTTATATTACTGTGCGTATATAGATGTTTGCATCCTGAAATATGTGTTAGAGCTGTATCTGCTGTAGCAATGCTCCACACACAGTGTGTCTAAAGGCTTGTGTTAGTTCTGTGTAATAGCTCATAATTTGGGTGTGGGTTATAATCATAGCAGGGAACCATTATTACAGTTCAGATTGGCAACAGCCACCAGATTGGTGATAAATGTAGTACCATAGGCTCGTGCACAAGTTGTTGTTAGACGAAATGTCTGAAAGTCTTTGTAATAGTGATGGCGTGGTTTAAAAGTTCTCAACCATGGGGTCTGACACCTTTCTGAAACAATCTCTTACTGATAATGAGGCTTAGTAAAGCAGCACTCCTCTAGATGAAGTGTTGAGCGCTGCTGCGTAACGAAGAGCAAATCCAGCGTAATTTAAAAATATGCTGCCTTTATTTTTTAAATTTGATCACATTTTCACATTTACCTGGTATACAGTGTAAGCCCACATCAAACAGTTATTTGCTATTTATTCATATCCATCCTGCGTTGATTCCTCAGCACAGGAATTACTCCTTATTTCATAAATTATTTCAGTTAAAGGAATTAAGTTGGGAGATACAAACAAGAAGATTGCAATTCACAAAATAATGGAGTTCGGTTCTGACACATTCTGGAAAGAGGAAACAAAAGCGAGTCGATGAGCGTCTTCGCAGAAGTGGCACCAATGGAGAAAAGCGTGGGGGTCCTTTTGGAGGCCGGTCACAGCAGGATTTTTCTTCTTCACCCTTACAGTCCGCTTTCATCCTGCAGCAGGACAAACATCACATGTTCAGTTGACATATTGGACAGGACGCCGGCTCTCAAATGACTAACAGGGGTGTTAATAAACTGGAGAACCGTGTTAATATGTAGACATCTGATGATACAGTTCACATGTGAACATGGACGTTGGGGACAAGTTTCCACCAAAGCACATTGCTGCATACTTTGGATATAATGTCTAAAGATAAGTAGAAGGACACAGGTCATCAGTAGATGTTTAACCGTGCGCTAAATGTGAGCTTAATCTTTAGCGTGTGGATTTGTCTTGTCGTTCGTACAGTTCATGTTGGTGTTTATGAATTTTGACCTTTACCGTGTTTTCCGTCAAGCTGCTGGTTTACTTATTGCATCTTCATGGAAAGAAATCTGTCACTGCTTTTACATCATGTATTTTTTTTTAGTAATTCTTTTAGCTGCTGCATCAAGAGGAAGGTATTGGAAAATGTTATCTGAAATATCTGAGACATGGGAATGTTTTTATGACCTTAAAGGTTTTTGTTTAAACTAACTCTTTATTGTTGAGCTTGGTGTTTTAGCTTTAGATTTCTTTGTGCAAGTTTGGATTTTTATGTTACATGCACTCATTGCACTTTTGGGAAAATGTGCTTATTTGTGAATTTGCACTACAAACACAAACAAGCAGAGGTTAACGACTAAAGACAAACAAGAG